CTTCAGGCAGACCACCAAAAGCTTAACGTACTCTTTGAGGAGGGGTGGTCGACCTCCTTGGGTGCCTAACCTTGGCACTCCTAGACCTTCATCCCTTGCGGGGCGGCCCTGGTTAATGGCTAGCATGGCTACCAGGGTTCCTCATGGGTGCACATTTGCTCATGGGGACAGTTTTGGACCGGCACTGCGCTGCCGACACTCAAGGGAAGGCTTGGCATGCGGGCCTGGCTCAAGCATGACCCTTCACCACACCAACCCCTTGCCCAAGTTGAGTGAGCTACCTCGTTGCCTCTAGCGCACGGGTGTGTTCCGGCCCAAGCGGTTGCCTATCAACATGGCACACAGGTGCCTGTCATCATTGGCATACAGGAGACCCCTCACATCGGTGCCTAGTCACCTCATCGGCGCACAGTCGCCTTGCATTATGGTTGTCCCCCTTTAGCACGTAAGCGGCGCTTCCCATGGACTGGTCTGAGCCAGGAGAGTGCCCCGGCCATTGGACTTGAGGTCATGATCCAGTGCTGCTGACTTTGGTGGAGCCATCCCATCGGGCAACTCCTAGCCTCTAAGCGCATAAAGGCTTGTCCTGGCCTACCTTGGCTTGGACGCCGCACGGGTTTCTTCCGCTGTAGAACTACCCCCGTGACAGTTGGTATCAGAGCAAGTTGGCCAATTGCTGCCGCAATTGGTTTTCAACAGATTAGCCCAGAGCCAGTTGAAGCGGTCATCACGACAAGTAGCAACATTGTGGGGTGCGGTCCCTAGGCATTTCCACCCAGGATCGAGTAGAATTCAGATCAGGCCTAGCAAGAGGCCATTCATTGTTTGTGTCCCCATTCCAATGATCCTAAAACAGCTTCCCTTGCGGGGGCAGACGCATTGGTTGTTGTCCTCATGCGGGGGCAGACGCGTGAGCCTTGTTAGGAATGCGGGTACACTGGCCGTTGGAGCATGGCGGCCCTACACCGGCAAAGTATCAGGTGGACATGCTCAGTTTTCAGGCAAAACACTTGCAGCAGCAGAAGCGCATCACAAGGCGAGTACATGTTCGGCAACATCATGGGTAAAAGTTGCCACCACTCGCACACATAGCGGTCAGATCTCCTTGAGGCAGTAGCACATTGGGGGCCCCCTCGGAGCGAAGATGTAGCCTGAACCTGCGAGGTGAAGCGTAGTTTCGAGGGCCATGAGAGCATAAGCCATGACTAGGTTTGAGTAACCCGCACACAGCGAGGTGAAGACCGCAAGCCAGCATGGTGAAAGGGTGACACCCATCGCCAACAGCAGGAGTAGACCTATCAGCGTGTTCGGTAGCACCACTGAAAAGCTACCAAGAAGACGATTAAGCCTTGATGTAAGATGATACATGGGGCGGATCTCCGCGAAGCACCACACACATTTCTTCGAGGGCCCTTCTTTCACAGTTCAACGGCATAGCCATTGCGCGGTTTGAGTAACCTC